GTAAATTAAAACTGAGATACAGGAGTCACCCTTATTAGAAGAGGTTGATCTAATAAACACCAACCATTACAGAACTGCCCAGTAAAGTCTCTCCCTTACAGTCCCTTGTTTAACTAAAGCATCAGCAAAACCATTTGCTGACCTCCTTACCCACTTGAAACAAACACCCACCTCCCTTGTTATGCTAAGTATTTCCCTCATAAGCTGTCTATATTGCCAAATTCCCAGCTGTCCTGATTGCATCCACCCAATTACCAACTTGGAGTCCCCCTCTATCTCAATCTACTTTAGCCCCAATTGTTTGGCCAGTTTTGCACCTTGATATAGTGCCAAGATTTCTGATCTTAAGGAATCTCCAACTCCAACTGGTCCTGAATATAAACCAATATCTTACCTTCATATCTCTGAAAACACCCCCTATACCAGATGGGCCCGGATCACCCATGGAGCTTCCATCGAAGTTCAGTTTTGCCCTCTGTGGTGTCGGTGGGGACCAAACCTCCTGTGCCACAGCTTTGGAAGAAGTTGTATTTGCCACAGTACTCCAGTTTCTAGAAATGTTTTCAGCTGAGAAATCCTTAAAAAGATCACAAGATTTCAACCAATGGATAACCTTGGATTAGGGTGGATACAGAATGGAGAATAAATTAGTAGCCCAATTCTGAACAGTTCCTATATCCTACTACTGGGTTCAAAAAATGTTGTTCCGAGTCCAGATACTTGTGGAATTGTAAGCACTATTCTGCAATCTCTGGATCATAATATCTGCAAATTTTGGTGCTGAATGCATTTTGATTGTCTTCACCTGCAAATCTCAGCCTAATCCAATTACAATCTTATGGTTTTTAGTAAGGTGGTACTGTTAGATTTTGTTTTATAGACTACAACATTTTTGTCTACTTTGCATATTTAACACCTGTCATGCCCCATTGTCCATAATACCTTAAGATCTGCCTTTTTCTTACTTATCCTCAAAAATATCTGGCTTTGTTTTCACAAAACTCCCTTTCAGTTTATCAATAAAATTTAGAAATATCTTTTTTTTGATAAGTGAATAAAATTTAGAAATATCCACCTTTAAACAATCAGATAAACACTAAGGGATCCTTATAAATAAATAATTGCTTGGGGGATTCAAAAAGAATGCAAATGATGTAGCATGATGTATGAAAATTATGATAGCATGGAGAAAATAATGCCATACATTGTCCTCAGGCCCCTGTTGCTGACTGTAGATAAATAATTACAGGCATTCATATGTATATGGTTACAAAGTCAAGTAAGTTTTTTTATTTCATTGGATGGGCGAAGAAATTCTTTTTAGAAGATAAAAAAATCAAGGAGAAAGAGTACATAAAGGAGATGAGACCATAAAAACTTAAGTGGTCAAGAACCAACCAGATACCATACCAACTGAACAAAAGCTTAGTTAAACATTAAAGCAAAGGAATCTATCAAAAAAATATATTAAAGCAAAGGAAAATAGTATGAATTCCTGGAAATTTTCAAGATTGCTTGTTTACTAGAACCACTCCTACGAAAAAGCTTGCAGGTTAGCTTTCCTATAGTCAGGAATTGCAATTGGGTCGGTGAAGAATGAGCTAAAACCCACCCATTTAACAAATCGACTCATGTGCAACCCATCCTTATAAAGCCTAAATGGAAGACACCTAGACACCTACCCACATCCACTCTTAACCCAACCCAACCTACACCCACCCACTCTAACCAAACCACTAAAGAGAGTGAGAAAATGAAGGACCAGGAGGGTCAAAGACAGTAGAACAGAGTTTGTAGACAAGACCAGGATTTGGGAGTTTGGACCTTGTTATTGCAACCAATGGGCATGATGCAGGATGATAATGGAGAAAGATCCACTATTTGATGCTTAAGAATTGATCCTAGAATAAGTGAACCCAAACCAGCCAAAATAATAGTTGCTTACAGTATTTGCAACCAAAAATATGGCAATAACACTTAAAAACATAACAATCAAAACCAACATCTATAATTTTATTCTTGATATAAGTTCTTACATTTGAAGTTTTTTTTATAAGTAACTTCGATTTTATCAATCAACTACCAAAAGCATTGCAAGCATCCCTTAGAGAGGCACGAGATGATAACTCTCTAACAGAAAATATAAAAATAAAAAACAAAACAAATTACATTTGAGCCCAATACAATATGTTTCCAACTACCCCTTGCTTAGCTAGCGCATTAGCCATCCCATTTGCCATTCTCCTATACAATTATACCCTTAAATTCATGTTTTGTAGTAAGCCATTTAATTTTTTCTTCTTAGAAGAGATTCACACAACCACTTCCCAACTCCTCTAAACATCAACAAAAGAAAATTATGAGAACAATTTCAAAGTCCAAATCTAGACAATCACACTGGCTATCACAATTGAAAAGTTCTCACCTTGGTGCAGCCGGTACTCCGTAACGGAGGAAGACTCACGGAGAAAGCCAATGGCAACAACACTGAACCTCTGATTTTGCAACCCGACAAGGCCTAGTGACCTTAACCTCTACGCACGTAGATGGTGATAAAGAGTTTAGGGCTCTATGGCTCTAAACAAGACCCACCAGAGAAGGAACAAGGCAAGAAAGAAGATGACGATGATGATGATGACGAGTCCTCGGAGACCAAGGAATACCTTAGTATTCAAAAATTCAAACTGCATGTTACAAAGATCGGCCTAGATTATATAGAGTCGAGAAAGGAGATGCTACAATTTTGACACCTAAAGAACATTCTACCAAATTAGCTAAACAAAAAGGGTAATCGACTCTAGAAGATAGGTGTAAGATTGAAATAGAAATTGTTGTTGATGGTGTTTGACATGTAATTTCCCTGTCAGGCAATTGCTCAATGTGATATTCGATGATGGGTAGGCTCTGTTACTGTCACATACCGGTAGTTGTCTACAGATCTATAATAGATGTTAGATAAGAAGTGTAACCGACCTTCGGGAATTGTCTAGGCATCACAAAAGTCTTGGCGAATAAGGTGAGTGTGCTAGATGGGATGTTGTTCATCGCACCAAGGAAACAGACCATGTGCTCGAATGCCATTCTAGTTTCGCAATTTCATAGGATGAGTCCTAACACTGCACTTGGTTTTCGTCGCATCACAACCTTGCTTCCTCGTCACACTGCACCCAAGGTTCAAAATTTCGATACGATACATCCCGTATCGGGCATATCGTATCGTATCAGTGGCTTCACGACACACCTATTTAAAGGGATTTTGGGAACCACTCCTTTTGAATAAAAAATATGGTTAAAATTAAAAATATGTCCAAAAAACAAATTTTGAAAAAAAAAACTAGAAAATATAAACACACATTATTTTAAGAATCGATACGCCCTTGCCAATACACGAGGGTGTATCGATATTTTGAACCTTGACTACACCCGCTCTCATCATTACTTCTCTCCTTTGTCTAAGAATTTTCTTGCATTCCTTTCTTCCCAAGTAAACCAAACCACAACTGCTCTCATGCATCTCTACATAATTCTTCCCCTTTCTTAGGCCAAACAAAGGTAGAAGGATCAAATAGTAGCATGTTAACCTCTGTTGGTACGTTCCCTATACATCCAAACAAAGAGAAAAACCAATTCCAGATATCTACAACAAAAGGACAGGATATTACAAGGTGATAACAACCCGATAGATTTACACAAGACACACCAATTTGGAGACAAACACAAAGAGGATCTTCTTTTCTATAACAAGCCCAAAGTGTTGATCTTCCCATGAGCTACTTCCCAACAAAAGGCTCCCGTCTTGGGTGGGATGGATCTACACCAAATTTTTTAAAAGGAAAAGCAAGAGGAGCCAAAGAGAGACACAAAGACTTGAACAAAGAAGCACACGAGAACAAGCCTTTAGCGTGGGGGCCCAAATACACCTATATGATTTAGAGGGGTCTAGATACACACTATCAAGAATTTGTGAGAGAACATTCATCAAAAAAATGGAATTTGTGAGAGAACCAAACTAAAATTCACATCATCATCCCTAGTGTTTTAAAAGCACAAGGCGCAAAAAAAAAAGCGCAAGGGCCAATTTGAGCCTGAGGCGCAAGTCGAGGCGCACGCCTTTTTAAGAAAGGCACAAATTTAAAAAAAAAAAGGCTAAAAATAAAAAAAAAAGTTGAAATTTTCAAAATAAATGCCAATTTTTTTTAAAAATGCAAACAATATCAAAAAATATTAAACATAATGTTAATAAAAATATAAACTTAAATTTTAAAATAAATGATTTAAAAAACTTATTATCTAAAATTAAAATACATAAACATAACATGTAAATTGTATTCAAATGAAATTTTAAAAATAAAAGCAGACATATAAAGCATTTTCAAGCATGTAAAGCCCACAATCTCTTTTTTTCCTTAATTGCATTACTTCAAGTAGCTAATGTGATGTAAAACATATTGCATTCTTGATTCTATGAGTCGCCTTTGTACCACACCCCTCGAGGCAAGC